GCCTCAGTTTCTTCATCTGTAAGATGGGTCTAATAGTACCTTCCTCAGAAGGTAGCTGTGAGGATCCAGGGATGCTGATGAGGTGATGGGGCATGTAGCCAACACCAGAGAAATGCTGTGCTTGTCCGAACAGATATTATTGCTATATGCAAGACCTAGTCCCATCTCTTGTGGGATAGTGCTCTGTTTCTTAATTCTGCCCTCCCCACTCCTAGCCATGTACCTTGGGTGGAATTGATTCAGTGTGCCCAGCTCATGTAAATCAGTTAGCCACAGTATTTGGTGTATGTCCACAATTCACTCAGAGCCAGTGTAACTCAACTTTACACATGCTTGAGGTTCTGAGGAACTAAAAAGGTTTCTCTCTTCAGTGGACATGTGAGAATAAGAGTGTGAGACTTGGAGCTTGTGCGGCCATCTTGTGGTCATGAGGAGCGCCTGGAAGAGGCAGAGGGAAAATGCAGAGAATCTGAACTTGTTCGTTTTGACATTTATTGAACACCTGGATTCAACCATACCTGAACTCCATCTGCATTTTCCATATAAGAACCAATCCAATAAGTTTGCTTTTTTGTTGTTGTTGTTGTTAAGTGAAATCTGAATAGGGTTTCTTATACTTGAAGCTATTCCTGATATTTATGGTCCTGCTCTCAAAAGTCGGAGCTGAGATCTAGAGTAAGGGTAAAATTTACTTTTGTACAATGAAACTTTGGCAGTTTCCCGTGTATGTCAAAGTTCCAACTGGCCCACAGGGGCCACACACCTGATACTATTTACTCTGGATGGACTGTTTCCCTTCCCCGTTCCACTTCTCTTTCCCTAATGAGTGTTTATCGGGATTATCTCCCAAATAAACAGCTTGCTAGTAAATCCTTGCCCCAAGCTCTGCTTCTGGGGGAGCCCAAAGATCCGGGAGAACGAAGATGGGCCTTAGAGTCCTGTCCACATTTGACACCCCCAGGCCCTTAGTGGTCACTTGCTTCATGGCAATGCCCTCTTCCTTCCTGGGATGTGTCATGAGTTTTGAGCTTGTCCTGTTTAGTTCCTTCTCAGCTATCTGTGGTCTGCTTTCTGGCCTCCCCTCCCCCTTCACCAGGCCCATGTCAGCATCTGTCTTCCTTACTATTATCTCTGCCATGCTAGAACAGATGGTACACTTGGTGAGTACTAAGAAATACTGTCCCCAAAACAGCCAGTGCACCTCCCAACATGTGATTTGGGGGCCCCTGACTTCTGTTACCTGAGAGACTCGCCCACCTTCTCCCACAGCCCCGAGATCAGCCCACTGGCTGCAGCTTCGCCACGCACCAAAGAAGTCACAACATCACTTTCACTATCATTTATTGTTTCTCTTGGAGTTGCAGGGAGTGTGGAGCCCTGAAAGCTTAGGAAGGGAAATTGCTGAGCTTCCCAGGGAGCCTGTTCCAAGCTGGTCCTGGGCTGAGTACGTGGGGGGAGAGGGGGTTTGGAAGCAGCAAGAATCGCTAATATAGCTCAGAATCCCTTCTGAGCCACGGCCTATGAGACCCAGCTTCATTCCCTTTATCGCAAAGGTGAGTTTTGAAAGTCACATCTCGTCCTCCAGATGTCATCCTGAACAGACCAAGTTGCCACATGGCCACGGCGACAGCAGCAGCCTTTGTTCTGTTTCATTTTTGTCATACTGTTCCTCCTGGGGGTAGCCTTGGTCAGGTGTCCAGTGCTGGGCTGGCAGGCAGGAATGGGGGCGCAGCGTGGAGGGGAGCAGCTGGCTGTCCTGTCTTTGCTGTGGCTGACCTGTGACTCGTCTGGTGATGTCCACTCCTGGGCCTCTCAGCCCACACTGACAATGGGTGGGTTGGCCCCAGTGACTGTGTGAGGCTGCCTCCCTGAGCTGATCTGGGCCAGCAAGGACAGGGGCAGGCCCCTCCTTCTTGCAGGTGGATAGAGAAGACCTGTGCTGAGCTTCAGGGGCTAGTTCATCTGCTGGGAGAACATCATTCCTCCTCCTCAGAGAGGGGGTTTGGTGGCTTGTGCACATCTCACCGTCTGGCATGTCCCATGTGGCCTGCACTGGGGACCAGGACTGATTCTGTTTTATATTCGGGGCCTGGTAAGCATTTAGCAGCTTCCCTTCTCTTCCCTTTCTGATTTCCACCTTCCTGTCAGTGATTTCTGGGGTCACCTCCCAAACAGAGGGCTCACGTGTTACTAATAAAGAAAACATCACCCCCAGACGTGATACCCTGAGAGGGGCACAAACAAGCCTCTAAGGATGCGTAGTCTGGCCAAGAGTCTCCCTCTAATGATGGGGTCAGACAGGATGGACATAAAAGGAGAATGAACCCATCCGTCCCCAAGTCGCTTCTGGGCTCAACTCTGGCTAGAGGAATGTTCATCCAACATTTTAAAGTCACCCCTGGGGGCCCCATCTATGAAGCCACATGAAGATGAATTGAAGTAAAGGGCCATTTGCTGCCTATTGGCGACAGACACTGCCATTAGCTTCAGAAATCAGCCCTCCTGGGACCCGCGGGACGCAGCGCTCAGTCAATGGGGAAGCAGAAACTGCTGTACAAGCTGCTTGTCACCCCATCTCGCCGGTGGCGCTCAGGAAAGGCAGATCTGCAAGCCAGACTCACACAACTCAGACTAGCCCCTGGGACTTCATCAGGGAGGAAAAAAATAGAGAGTTTAATTAAGTCCCACATGCCAGCCATCAATTCCAATTTTCCACTCCTCATTTAGTAGAGAATTTCCACTGCACATGTAGTAAGATGCTACAGAACTGGGGCAGGTTGGTGAGGGGATCCCCTCTTTTAGTCCCAGCACCCCTCTGTTCAGCCTGGCTTGTGAAACGGAGATGCCACTGTGTGGGCGCAGTCATTACTGGGCAGGGGATAGGGTGGGGAGTGATGTGGGTCCCAGGACTCTGCTCCCCGGTGAGTTCACCACCTCCATTCTAGGGGCTGAGGACTGGGTTGACTGGCAGTGCAAAGGTGTTCCAGACTTTTGCATGTTCTTTAAAAAACCATTATATGCAAGTGTTGCATCTTGGGAGAGAGCTCTCTCCACCCACAGGGCCACCCCGAGAAGGCCTCCTGGAACCCCAGCCAGAAAAGCAACGCTCTAGTCAAAGCTCTCTCTCAACCCCCCACCCCCGCCGATGGAGGGAAAGGGAGTTACGGTTACTGTGCCACTATGCGAAGGTCTTATGGCATGTGATGTCCACGTGGGGAGGCCTAGGGGGCACCTTGAACTCTGGGGCATCTAGAGGTCATGGCAAACATGCTCCCATCAGCTGGGAAGGCACCAGAGGAGTTAAAGGAAAGGGGGGCTCCCCACGAAGCCAAGGCTACTTTAAGATAGATAAGGTGTGGAGTTCTGGCTGGGCTGGAGCCCAAGGTGGCGCTGAGGTCAGGGGCAGTGCCCAGCAGACACAGCGCACCTCGCCAAGTGCCAGTGCTGGGGCCCCCATAGGTGACTTTAACATGCTGGAATGAAGGAAATGCAAGTGACTTGTCACCAGTGATGAAACGCTAACTCGCTTGCTGACTGTCAGCTCTGCCTGCACACCTCAGCGTCCCCCATTCATGCCCAGGACACGTTCTCCAGTGGATTCCAGCCCGTGGCAAGGAGCCATCGCAGCCATGTCACTCTTGGGAAAGCCATCAGGACCTCTCCCCAGTTTGTTCTGCTGGGGAACAAAGTTGCTGCCAGGACCTGGCACCACCATGTACAATTAGTACGTGGCGGGAAGACTTTTGCCTCTTGTCTCAACTGCTCCCCTGTTCTCTGTTTCAGCAGTCTTCTTGCACCCCACCTGACCATCGTGACCTATCCCACTGCCCATTCTACATCTCTTCTCCATCTACCAAAATACCCCCGCCCTTTGCACAACACCCTGGGCCCACCACCTTGTCAGTCCAACTCCCCTTTCTGCCTGTCTCCTTCTGCACCACCCCCCCTGCATCTCTGCCATGCCCTCACGAGCTTCTCACCTCTGCCCCGGGTCCATTGCTTTTTTTCCCCACTGATCACAGGATGCGCTGTTTTCTCTCTAATGACTTGGTCCTGCAGCCTGTCCCATGCTGGAGGCAATAAGCCAGATCTGTTAGCACATGGGTGGCTGAATCAAGGAATATATTGAAAAGTAAGTTGGGGACTTTAGTCTCTGGCATTAGGGGGTCTGGTGGAGGGAACCCCCAATAAAGCTCTGCTGTGCCTGTGGCGGCTTAGTTGAGGGTGAAGCGTCAAGGCCTCCACACTGCTGGGGAGCTGGAAGCAGGAATGGCCATCTAAGCCTTGCAAGAGTTTGCTCTGCCAACACTGAGGCCAGGTGATTGGAGAATGCCCTCCCAACGTGCCAGGGAGGGCTTGTGTGCCGGCAGGTGGCACTCCTGCCCAGGTCCACATGTGTGAGGAGGATTAGGACAGGTGTGTGGCATCAGACCCCAACACGGGCTATATCAAGACTATATGACTCCTTGGTTAAGAGCTTCCAGAGCTGGGGTGGGGAGGCAGGTCTGTCCAGAAAATGCTGCTGAAGGTAGAGAGCAGAAAGACAAGGACCCATCCCGGCTAGTTCCCATGAGAAGGCTGGAAGGGGAGGAACAACCAGAGGGCTTGCGGCAACTGGAGCTTCCAGTTACTGGCAGGGGGTGGTCCAGGAAAGAGGGCCTTGGGGGAGGAATGGGATTCTGGATGCTTGGTTCTCAGGGCATCTGGAACCTGGCTTGAGAAGTGAAAAACCTCTTGGGAAGAAATGAGAATAAGGGAAACTTGACCTAGCCAGCAAGGCTGGATTTGCTCGGTAACGAGCAAGGAGAGGAAGAGGCAAGAGATAGGGACAAAGTGACCAGAAGCTTGGAGAATCACAAGGCCCTAACAGTTTCCCCCCTAGCTTCTAGAACACTGCCCCAGGGACATACCACCAGGCAATCTCTGCCCTGGTGCACTGAGGCCTCCTCAGTGTCAGGCAGTGGGTTGCTCCCCACCCCCATTTCGGTGAGGGTTTTGAGTTACATATACTTGATGGGCGACTCGGCCCCTTCCAGAATGTTGTCATTGACGTCGCTCAGGAGTTCATGTTCGCTGAGGGAGCCGGCATTCTGCATGCGGCGGAGGCGCGCCTGAAGCTGCTCCTGCTCCTTCTTGAGCTCCAGATAAGAGTGTGAGAAGGTGTGGAAGATGGACGTGGCCGGGAAGGCCATGATGAGGATCCCACTGAGGATGCTGCTCAGGGCCACCACCTGGCCCGGCACGCTGCGTGGCACCATGTCTCCATAGCCCACCGTCGTCATGGAGATGACGGCCCACCAGTAGGAGGCCGGGATGCTGGTGAACTCCAGGACCCGCCCGGACTCGTTCTCGGCCACGTAGACCAGAGGCGAGAAGAGCGTGACGGCCACGCAGAGGAAGAGGAGGAGCAGGCCGAACTCACGCGTGCAGCGGCGCACCGTCAGCCCCAGCGTCTGCAGCCCCAGCGAGTGGCGCGCCAGCCGCATCACGTAGAGGATGCGCAGCGCCCGCAGCACGCGCAGGGCGAGCCCCACCTTCTCCAGGTAGGAGCCCCCGCCGGGCCGCGGGCTGTCCTCCTGGGGCTCGTCCGACACCGCGAGGGACACGTAGTATGGGGAGATGGCCAGGATGTCGATGATGTTCAGGGGGCCTTGGAAGAATTGGCACTTGTTCTGGGCCTGCACAAACCGCAGACAGAACTCGAGGGAAAACCAGGCGACGCAGACTGTCTCCACGATGAAAATGTAGTAGCACTTCTGAGAGCACTCACCCTGGGGGAGGAGAGCAACACACCGCAGGCTAGCGGGAGGGGAAGGACCGAGTGGGTGTCCTTGTCCGCAGAGGACTCTTTAGAGTCTCTACAGGTGCTATACACGCGCTATGATATATTCTCCCTGTTTACTTTCTCTGTCACATTCATCCTTTCATCCATCCGTCCATCCATCTGTCCTTCTGTCAATAATCGTCTATCATTTAGCCATCCACCAATCATTTATTATCTATCTTTCTTTTTTGTTTTCTTTTTAAAGATTTATTTATTCATGCATACAAGAACTGGGGTACAGAGGTGCAGGGGCTGAGCCGATTCACCACAGACAGAGTGGGGAACAGAACAGTCAGATCTACTGAAACACACTGCTGAGGGGAGCAGCAGGCGGGTCAGGAGAGGTCTGCAGCACTGTGTGGGTCACCTCCCTGGCCGGGGATCGAATTTGTGCTGCAGTGGCTGCTTTATAGTGCTGTGCTTTAACCCATTGCGCCACCAGGAAGGGCCCTATCATCTTTCTTCCTATCTATCAATCAATCATGTAGCTCTCATCCTTCGATCAGCCTCTCCTAGGAGGAAACAGAATCTTGGACTCACCTATCTGTGTAGAATCACTCTGCATTTTAGCAAGATCCCTAAGTGACTGGTATGCACACAAAAATGTCTGAGTAGCTCTTGTGAGGCACAGCGCCTCTCAGCCTCGGCTGCACATTACACTCACCAGAGGCTTGGGGAAAACCTGAAATCCTGCTAGGGACCCAAGAGATTCCAGTTTAATCTAGATTTTAGCCTGAACAGTAGAACTTTCCAGAAGCCTCACAGATCATTCTAGTATGGAGCCAGAGTTGAGAATCTACTTCTCAATGTGTGTGTGTATACATCTGTATGATGATTGTACACATGACTTATGAATCAATGAATGACCAAAGCTGGTTCCCTGAGTGAGAAGCAAGATGTGACAACTGCAGATTTCTTTGGATTAAAATGCTCTGAAGTGGAAAAAGAAATTATTTCCAGTGCCTGGCTCACAAAAAATATTAAACTGAGACTTCATCTGTCTGACTGCTGCCAAAAGAGACATCGGTTGGCCCAACCAACCTCTACAAAGGCTGGATTGCTTTCTGCCTGGATGTCTCTCTGTCCGGCAGGGTGGGTGGTGGCAGGAATGCTGTGGAGTGTGAGTGGGCCAGAGAGTGTGTGACCAGGTGTGCTATCCCTGGGGGTGCAATGGGTTAAAGCACAGCACTGCAAGCTCTCTGTAGCTGCTTCAGTGTGAGTTCGATCCCAGGCCCTGAAGCTGACACACATGGCACAGCAGACCTCTCCTGACCCGCCCCCTGCTCCCCTCAGCAGTGTACTTTGTCAGTCGGCAAGTTCTGCTCCCTACTCTATCTGGTGAATCCTCTCACCGCCCCTGTTCTTCTGGCCTACACCCTAATTCTGTCTGCATAAATAAATCTTAAAAAAAAAAGTAACATGCATGTAACATGAGTAGCCATGATGTATGTACTAGGAGGGCCTGCAGAGGCCAGATTCTTCACAGCACCTTAATGAGCTGAATTATAGCTCCTAGACATGGCCTGCCTCGTCTGATGAGGGTCGCGATACACTGCCCCATCACCAGATTTTTTTCAGAAAGCCAAGGTAAGTCCTGTTTCCTATGGGACCTCACCCACGCTGACAGGTCTTCAGTATGCCTGTCAGGGATTGGCCTCAGGGTGCTGGAGGGCTAGGAGTGTGGGGTCCCAATTTGCCAATCTTGCTCCAGACTTGCCACAGCCACTCACCCCTTTGTATTTTAGTTTCCACTAAAGAGGCTGGAACAGAACCCCTTTTCCCCAAAGTTGAATCAGAAACATCTAGTGTCAGAATCGCTGAGGGTAGTCAGTGTTACAAATGCCAGCTCCTGGGCCCCCTGCACAAAGCCCAAACCTCATTGTGGGCCCTAGGACTCTTCCTTTTGCAAGCTCCCACTTGACTTAGAGGACACTGGACCAGTTTTCCCTATAAGATCTCTTTAGTCACTGACCTTCTGGAAGTTTCCCTTGGCTTAGAAGCCTCTTGTTGCAAAGCTGGGGAAGGTGACTGAATAGGTGAAGAAGGCCGCCGGGTCCTCCCCTGCCCATGGCTGGTGTTTGGCTAGTCCAGACATGCTCCGCTCCACAGCCTGGCTCGCCGCTGGCCTCCTCACTGCACGGCAGCAGGCTCTGTGGACTCGCCCACCTGCCTGGCTGCTCCCCTCAGTGTCGTTCCCCATCCTCCCACCGCCCCTGTGTGGAACAGCGGCTGACAACGGGGCGGTGGGAGTTCACGGGGCTTGAGCCAAGGACATAATCCCCAGGGCAGGCCATCTTCGATGGAAAATAGAAAAAGGGGGCAGGAAGGAAAGAAAACAGTTGCTCTTTCTCTGTCTGAGGAAGTTCCTGGTTGTATTTTGTAGGGAAGGTGAACTATTAGTTCTGCTTTGCCTAGAACTTTCTGCATTTGAGCACAGAAAGTCCCAGGTCACCAGAGGCCCTTGGCAGTACCCTCATGTGGTGAAGAACACGGAGGGGCTGGCCCCAGAAGGTTGGCCGAGTGGATGGCGGGCACGCATACACCATGGGGCAGAACATGTCCCACGTGTGCTGCCACTGAGGTGAAGCTGAAGAACAGGCAACACTCATCTGCACTGAACAAAGTCATAAAACAGCAGCTGCCTCTGCCTGGGGGCTGGGAGGGCCGACTGTGAGGGGACACGGGAGACGTTTCTAGCCTGGAGAGAATATTCTGAAACAGAATATGGGTTACATAGGTACAGCCACTGGTTAAATTGTACCTCAAGATTTATGCCTTTCGAGGCATGTATATTTACCTATAAAGCTGTCAAATAAAAATAAAATTAATGATACTAACAATAAATGATTGGGTGAGGAGGGAGTGGGGAGAGAGATCAGGGCAGAAGGTGACCAGTAGTGGAAAGTGGGTACTTGGAAGCTCATTCTATTTTTCTGTTTACTGTGTAAATGCTTGAAATTTTCCACCATGAGAAGTTTTTAAAAATCAGCATTGAAGTCAAAGACTCTCCATGCAGACTAGTGTGGCCGTGAATACCAAGACAAAAAAAAAGAACAAAAATAATTCTGGTGTAAAGTAGAGCCCTCAAACATAGCTTGTGGAAATATAATATTGCTGCTGTGGAAACAGGTTGTGGTATCTCAAGAAGTTAAGTATATTTTTGCCATGTGACTCAGCAATTCTACTCCTAGGACTATACCGGAAGGAAGCAAAAACATCCATCCACACAAAAATTTGTTTACCAATACTCATAACAACATGATTAACCATAGCCAAAAAAAAAAGTGGAAACCACCTAAAAAAATACCCAGCAACTGATGAATAAATAAACACAGTGCAGCCTCTCTACACGTGGAATATTATTCAGCCATAAAAAGGAAAGAAGCATCGGTACATGCTTTCTAGAGAAACCTTGAAGACTTCATGTTCTGTGAAGGAAGCCAGATACTGCAGGCCAACTCTGCTATTGTTCTATTTATATGCAATGGCCAGAGAAGGGGAGTCCTTGGAGGTAGAGTCCACATAGTTGTCTGGGGGTGGGGGGTTGGGGACAAGGGAAAGTAATGGACAGTAGATGTGGGATTTCTTGGGGGGGGGGTGTGACGAAAATATCCTGGATTCAGGTCCTGGTGAATTGGTGGCTATTATAATATGGATTACATCTTGGTCAAAAAAAGACCAGGATGGGAGCCTGAGGTGGCAGTGGCAGTCCAGGTGAGGTGGTGGGTGGTGGGATCTCACACGCTTCCCCGACCCCTTTCCCAATCCTCTGGAGCAAATCGGACCAGAAGGCTCTGGGATCAGAGGATGAAGTCCTGTGTCTGGGGGTCCACCTGGCCAGGCTGCCCAGCAGATGGCCACAGGTACAGGAGGGCAGGTTCCAGCAGTTCCATCAGGGAGGGGATTAGAGCCAATGTCTTGCCTTGGCACCCTTCTGCCTCTCATAGCCCTACCTGCCAGTGCCCTCTGGGGAGCAAGGCCCTTCTCACCCCTAGCCCAGTACTGGCCCCATGTGTCCTTTGAGTGGCTCGACTGGGCCTCCAGCTGCTGGCCGGCCAGAACTTCCACTAGGGCCTCTGACCTCAGGTCTCGCCTGGGCTGTTTCCTGCAGGCTGCTGACTCATTCCTTCCTGGATTCTCCTTCAGCCACCTCGTCCCCCCACCTGTGCTCCTTCTTCATCATCTCCCTACATGCCATTGCCTTCAGCTGAAGCCCTCCTTCAAGCCCCCAGCCCCCCAGTGGGGGATACTGTGGAACTAAGCAGATGGGGGACAGGGCCCCCTGAAACAAGGGGAATGACAACGGCAGAAGGAAATCATGAGCTCCACGGTCAGATAAGGTTGGGGGGAGGTCCAAGAAATAACGGAATAATTCTTTGACCAGCATGTAAGGAGACTCAGCTGGAGAAAAAATAAAAATGAAAACCCAGAACCCAAAAACCAGATTAAGAAAAATTCCCTGGAGCCGTTACCAAATATCACCAGATATAGAAAAGTGACAGAGAGCTCGCCAGTCTTGCCCGGAGCTGCTTTGTGATCCAAGAAAAGGATGAGGGGGGCAGGGGGGGCTGCGGGGGGAGCTGATTGTGGGGCGAAGCTTCTGAAAGGTGGGGAGGCAGGAGATAGAAATTGCAGCCCCAAAGATGATCCACATCTGAATGAGGGCATTGTTACAACGAGGGGTCCCCAGATTTTCACTGGTCTTAAATCTCTCTGTGACGTCCCTCATCAGCCCTCCACCTTAGCAAGATGCTGAAACCACAGTGCAGTATGGAAGAAAAATCAAGAGGCAGCACCCTCGAGGCACCCAGTTCTGCAGCCCCTGGGGCACTGTATTCTGTGCAGTCCAGGGAGGAACATCCCTTGCTGATGATGACCCCAGCAAACCCTTGGGACAGGAGCAGAACCTAAGTTGGAGTGAGAGAGGAGAGGAGGAGGACTAGCACATTCGTGCCTGTTTTTGGCCTCACAGCATCCCAGCACAGCGAGACGCTCAGAAAAGGCGAAGGAGTGAAGGAGCAGAGCCACTGGAAAGGAAAGAGGGCATTTGGGACGACTGGCTGCTGTCATTTGGGTCTGATGGAGCTGGGAGAAAAGAACAGGACATGAGCAAGTGGAAGGGGTGGTGGTTCGGTCCCAAGGGCAGGTGAAAGCATAGTGGCATGCTCTGAGCCAGCACGTGATAAATTCTTCCTTCAGTCCTCACTGTCATGCCGAGTAGGTGCTAATTGTAGATGAAGAAATAGAGGCATAGAGAAACCAAGGGGTATGTTCAAGGGTGGAGACAGGTAGTGGCTGAGCTGGAATTCAGACCCAGGATTAGCAAGCTAGAGGGTCTGGCTTTTCCCCAGGACTTGGTGCTGCTGTCCAGTTACTGGGGATATCTTGTTTGCCGTAAAGCAGAGGGGAGAAGTCAAGGAGAAGTGACTGTTTCACTGCAGCTGACCGTGACTTTCAACCTCCTCTTGGGGAGGGCAGAGTACTTTGACCAACAGCATGGAAAGGCTGCCAGGGATGACTGGCAGGGTTGCCATCATGCAGGAAGCCAGAACCCAGAATCTTGCAGCCTTCACCAACAGATGGATGGATGGACAAACTGTGGCATATACAGACTGTGGAATATTACTCAGCCATAAAGATGAATGAAACACTGACACATGAGGTATCTGGCATAGGGAAAGGTATCTGGCATAGGGAAATCCAGGGAGACTGAAAGTAAATTAGTGGCCGCAGCAGGGGGGGGAGAGGTCATAGGGTATGAGGTTTTGTTTTGGATCGGATAGAGATGATAGCTGGATAACACTGTGAATGAACTATGTGCCATTGTAATGTTCACTTTAAAATGGTCAATGTTATGTCATGTAAATTTCTCGTCTTCAAAGGATGGAGGAGGAATGCTTGGAATATAACTTTCAAATGGTAAGAAACCTTCTTACCTCGCACCCAGAGGAGTAAACTCAAAAGCTTGTTGAAGGAACAAACAAATAAACATCATGATTTCCCACTAGCTAGGACTTAGTTAGCAAACAATGACGATGCCTGCTAACATCTATTGAACATTTCTCATGTATGTTGGTGTTATTCTTTTTTTAAAAAAAGATTCATTTATTTATGCATCTGGAACTGGGGTGCAGGCCAGAGGTGCAGAGGCAATGAGAGGATTCACCAGAGACAGAGTGGGGAGCAGAACAGGCAAACTAATGAATGAAGTACACTGCTGGGGGGAGCAGCGGGTGGGTCAGGAGAGGTCTGCTGCGCCATATGGGTCACCTCCGGGGTTGGGGCTGGGGATCGAACTTTCTGAAGCAGCTGCCACTGGCTTGCAGTGCTGCGCTTTAACCCGCTGTGCCAGCAGGGAGGGCCCTATGTCAGCATTATTCTGCAGCCTGACACGAATTGTTTTCAACCCTTACCATAGCCTGGAGAAAAAGGCTAACACTTTACAGACAAGGAAACTGAGGCTCAGTGAGGTGGAGGGACTTCCCCGAGGAGGAGGCCAAGACTCAGATCCAGCTTGCGTGAGCACTCTCTGTTCCTGGAAGAGTTCTGTTGCCAGGTGCTCTGCTCCACAGGCAGGAAGTTCAGCATGGCCCTGCCCTCCCCCCACCCCACCCCACTTCCGTCCAGGGGGCAGGATTTGGAGTGAAGCAGAGGTGAGCGCAAACCCAGCTCTGCCACTTAGGAACTCGAGCTTAAGAAAGTGGTCACACTTCCCTGATCTCAGTTTCCCCAACTGTAAAATGGGGGCAGTGGTGTTCTCTTCCCAGTGCTGGGCAAGGGCGAGGGAAGTGCACGCCCTTGAATGCAGCCTCAAGCACAGTCGAGGGCTTAACAAACCTGCGCTCTTTGATGCCGCTCCCCCAAGGAATCCAGCTTCAATGCATCTTAAGGCAGAGCCTATTGGCCCGGTTCCTTCTGTCTGTGCTGCCTCCGCTTGCCTTTTAATTTGTGTCTAGGACACAGCCAGCCCTCCGCCTGACTGCTAGCTGTGTCCCCAGGGGCACCGCTGTGAGAAGGTAGAAGAAAAAGGAATTTTTCCTTTGTGTGTTCTAGCTCTCCAGCTCAGGGTCACACCTCTTCTGTGTCTGATGAAGGCGCCCTGTGGGTGGGAGCCCGGGGACTCTGCCAGGGTTCCTGGGGAGGACTGGGCCCCGCGTCTCCCGAGAGACAGCCTGTCCCAAGAGCAGTGGGACTGAATGATTACTTTCTTGCTGATGGCTGAGGGTGAATTCAAAATACTAGGCGGTGTGGCAGAGAGAGCATCATTGTGTGATGTAAATGGATGTTCGAAGTCTTGAAAGAGCAAAGACTACCCTGCCCTCAGCCTCCTGACTCTGAACTATTACCAGACAGAAAATGCTTTTTTTTTTTTGAGGGATGCACCCCCAGCCTGCAGGGCAGTGCATCTAAAGGCAGCTCACAAGGTGAGGGCAGAGACTTGTGCTTTCCTGATGTGGGCACTCCTTCTCCCAGGAGTGGATGGACATGGCGGCCTGAGTCTTCAGCTCACCCTGGGGACCACCCCTCTCACTCTGATGTGATGTTCTGGGGCACATTAAACAGTCTGGGTTCATACCTTTCATAATTGCCAAAGAATTAGGCTTTGAAAAGACCTTGGCGCCCTGCACAGGCTAAATCCTTGCTCCCTGGAAATCCCACTGGCATGTGAAAATCCTGGGGTCCCCAACCCCTGGAATTAGGGGCTCCCTGGTGGGGTGGGATCAGAGGCCAGTTACTTTGCCCTGATCTTTCTGCTACAGAGACCACATGTAAATATTTCTGTGAATCAGCAAGCTTTGAAATCCTGATTTTGTGCTACAGAATGAGAAAATGCCGGTGATCAGAGCTATAGTCTCCAGAGGGGCTAGGGGAAGGAGGGTGGGGCCTGGGGGGGGGCTGTTCCAAAGTCGGAACATTTTACCAACTAAAATGCTTTAGCACAGAGCATTTATAGGATGGACCAGATATACTTTATTCAACAAATATTGATTCAGAGCCTGCTCTGTGTGAGCTATAGGGTGCTTTTCCATCTAAGATCTTTCTATCTTGAAAGTTCTCTGATCCTAGCATGTTGCCCTGGGATATATCTTTCAGAGAAGGGCACTGAAAATAGTTATGAACAACATGCAAGGTACATTGTCTTGTTCATTGGCTCTTTCCATTTGCCATAACATAAGTTTTAGGAGTGAGGGTGATAGCCATAGAAGAATAGGGGAGAGCAGCAACATTAAAAATTAGAAAATTGGCCCTCCCTGGTGGCACAGTGGGTGAAAACACAGCACCAAGAAGCTAAAGTCACTTCAGCATGAGTTCATCCCCACCCCTGGAGCTGATCCACACGGCATGGCAGACCTCTCCTGACCCGCCCGCTGCTCCCCTCAGCAGTGTACTTTGTCAGCCTGTTCTGCTCCCCACTCTGTCCCTGGTGAAACCTCTCACTGCCCCTGCACCTCTGACCTGTACCCCAGTTCTGTATGCATAAATAAATAAATCTTTTTAAAAAATTAGAAAACAATCCAGTTTTCAGTTGTAATAATCTTCCCAGCAAAATGTAGTTTCATTTTCTCATTTTTCAGAACTTCTGCCCCTCTGAGGGGTCTTGAGGTCTTCCCTAACTCCCCATAACAAAAGCTTTTATCTGGCCCCTGAGGCAGGCTCACTTATAAATCAGTTCGGCTGTGCTCCCCATCCGGAGAGTCGGCAGAGGCATTTCAGGAGCACACAGCAAGCTGGGAAACCGGGACATGAGAATTTCTGCCATCAATAGCATCTTTACTCTGTAACTGTGAGGGCGCTAACTGCTCCGTGCCTCAGTTTCTCTATCTGAAAGTGATATACCGAGTATACCTACGAGGATGTAGGCTCAAGAAGGCAGGATTTGGGGCCTGGCTTAGTACTTGGACAAAGTAGTTACTCAGTAAGCACGTCGTGCGTCCAGTGTGTGACCCTTCATAGCACTGCTATCCATGTTCCAGGGCAAACAAGCTCAGAGAGGTGAAGCTCTTTGCTTGTGGTCACAGAGCAGGGAGGAGCAGAACTGGACCTGCCCTGTGCACTAACACCAGAGGCGACTTAGTTACCATCTAGGATGGGCTCTCAGAGGTCGAACTGTGGGCCTGTGGGGCCCCTTCCTCCAAGAAAAAGAAATTAAATATTTTTATGATTGCATTGGGTTAAAAATGAATATAACTCATGCTGGATCATATTCATTCTGCTCCCCCCGGCCCACCTTCTTATTTTAAAAGCCATTAAAACATTTTCCGCCCTCCCTGGTGGCGCAGCAGGTTAAAGCACAGCACTAAGAAGCTTAAGCCACTTTTGCATGAGTTATATCCCCGCCTGCCCCAGAGGAGACCCACATGGCGCCCCGCAGACCTCTCCGGACCTGCCCGCGGCTCCCCTCTGCAGTGAACTTCGTGGATCTGCCTGTTCTGTTCCCCACTCTGTCTCTGGTGAATCCTCTCCCCCTCTGCATCTCTGGCCTGTATCCCAGTTCTGTATGAATAAATAAATAAATCTAAAAAAAATTTTTTTTCATGGCTCCTATGTCTAGACAGGCCTGGGCCCCGTGCGGGAGAGAAAAGGCCCGGGCAGAGGCCACTCACCTGGTCCTCCTCAGCCCTCAGGTCGGGCATGGTGCTGACACACAGGCTGACCGCCGTGGTGGCCACGAAGAGGATGGAGAGACAAGCAAAGACCTTCCCGGGAAGCCCCGACTGTGGGTTTTCCACCATCTCTCTCAGCCTGCTCATGAAGAGCCCCCAGCGCGAGGTGTGGGCCGCGGGCCCACAGGCCTCCCTCTGCCTCTGCAGCGCCTCCTCCCGGCGCAGCTCGGCCAGCGCCTCGAGCTTCTTGAGCAGCGTCCGCAGGCAGCACTTCTCCAGGCGGGTCTCCTCGATACCCCAGTAGGCCAGCTCCTCCTGGAAGGACAGCGCGCACATCTCCTGCAGGAGAGCCAGCTTGCCGGCCGCCAGGAAGCTCACGATCATCCCGAAGGCACAGGGGCTCCTGTCGAAAAAGAACTCCTGGCTGTCCGCGTCGTAGTCGTCGCACAGCTGCGCGATCTCCTCGTGGCTGCGGCAGAACTTGAGCTTGCTCAGGCGGCTCAGCGGGAACTCGTCAAGCGTGCTCCAGGGGAGGACGTACCGCCTGCCTCCCACGTTGACCAGTATCTCCTTCTTCAGGTCTGAAGTCGGGGAAGCGTCCCGGGCACCCACTCTTCGGGCCCTGCGGTAGTAAAGGCCCTTGACGGACGACGTCTCCACAGGGCCGGGCAGGAGCTGACTTGAGGGGCTGCCGGAGCGGGAGTAGCCGTGTCCTGGGTGCAGACCCCCAATTCCGGAAGGCACCCGCATCTCTGAAGAGGTCCTGGCACCCAAAAGGAAAAGAGCCAGAGGACAGGGTGAAGGGGGTAGTCGCTGGGTAGAGTTCTACACATCCTGGACACTGCCTTAAGTCTGTTTTCCTGCACCTGCATCATTCATTCTTTTAACACAGATTTACCGAACAGATTTACCTACCTTGGGTTCCTTCAGTGAATTTTAAAAGGAGACAAGGACACCTCCCCCCCCCTTCCCACCTGGTGGTATATATGCTTTTATCTCAGAAGAATCTCCCTGGAATGGACACTAGGTAGACTGGGACTTGGGAAGCTCAGTCCAGAGCTGCCCCACTTCTGGCTGTGTGGTTTTGAGCATCTGGCTTAACGTCTCTGATCTCTGCATGGTTCATCCCAATGACAAGAATTGTACTGACCTTGCGAGGGACAGTCGGTAAGAGAGGCCGAGGCTCTCAAGTCTAGGCCAGTCCAGAGCCCCATGCTCTGCCATCATGAGTGGCCGCTTAGCCTCTCTGAGCCTTTTACTGCATCTGTGCAGCTGGCGTGTGTTGAGCGCTCCCCTTTCTGGGTGTGCAAAGGGTTACATACTGGTATATGTTCCTAGACCCTTCGGATGGGCCAGGCCCTGGTTTTCCTGCATAACGACTCATCTCACCATTTCCATGAGGTTGATGTTAGTTTTATAATGAGGAGCCAGGCACAGAAGTAGCTTGCCCCTTGTTAGCAAATGGCTGACCTCTGGTCAGGCCTTACTGAGGAGGGCGAAGGGAACAAGAATGTGACCACCGCTGGCCCTCAAGACACCTGCACACTAGTGCCCATCCTCCCTCGGACTCCTCATCTGTAGACTTTGCTACCGATGCCAGCACTCCTGTGTATTCGGTGGGTGCTTACCTCAGCCCCTTTGCTTGTGACCTTGAACCAGTTACTGACCTTCCCTGGATCTCAGTCTTTTCTGCAGAATGAAGGGTTCTCACACTGTCTAACATCTCAGACCAATTGGGGCATTTGACTTAGAAGAGGGTTTTAGATTTAGCCCAGGCAATAAAAAAAAAAATCATCTCCATAATATTTCTCATCTTTAGCATCCTGCAGCCATTTCCTGTACTATTCATTCTAGCCAGCTAGAACAGTTTCCAAAGCATTTCTAACCTTACATCCCAAGATGCACTCCAATCACGAGTAAAATTCAGTGGCTGAGTGGAGATAAAAGTTCCTCTCAATTTCAGGGCCAGTTGGATTCTGGCAGACGCCAGGGGTTGACTCACAGCTCATGTATTTCACACTTGCTCACCACACACCATTCTGCTATTCTGCATGTGTTACTTCACTGACAACCTTGGGCCTTAGGAAAATGCGCAGCCTGCAGAGAGAGGTATTTTGAAATGTGGGGAGTCCTTTCCAAGCATTCTCATTTCCCCAAATGCAAAAAACAGGACCCAAGAGCAGCCATGACTTGCCCAAAGTCACACAATGCATCGGAATTCACCCAGCACTGTCTCCCAGTCTGCAGCTCTTTCTCAAGCCCCCTCCCCAAATGCCCCTTCTGCATTCATCGCACAAACCCCGTTTTGCAATCCACTGGCTGCCTGACGCAACAGCTCACAAGCAAAGCCCCTTCTAGAGCTGGGGTTTGCCGGGGAGGGACCCTCTCAAAAAAATCACTCTGGCCAAGCTTGTTCACCAGCGCCCTGCAACCCCCCCCGCCCCCCAGCCCTGCAGCAAATGCTAACTTCTTCCCCAAACTTTGACTCACCCTCCTGTCTCAGGGAGCCTGTTTCCAGCTGTTTCTCTACCAGGCAAAGAAAGCCCATGTCTCCATGCCCAGGGAAGAGGAAGTTTTGTGATGGAGATGAAAGGGAAGAAGAGAAGAGCCCCAACACAGCAGTTTCTGGCAGTTAGTTTCCAAGCTCTCTTCCCCTGCGCCTCCTCCAGAAACCAGAAGTCCATTCACTCTGCATCCCTCTCCAGCAGCTGCAGAACAGCCAGGTGTGTCTGGGGGTGGTGTTAAAAAGACCCTCCTTCCCCCTGTGAGAGGTGAGGGTCTAAGGGGCTCATGCCAGGAGGGAGCCAGGCAGTTGTCCTGCTTCGGCAGCAGGCTCTGCCCTCGCAGTCCCATGGGGACTGCCAGTGTGGTCCTGCAAGGGGGGTGGGGGGGCAGGAATGGGAAGGGCTTAGGAATAATCTCTCCATCAGTCAGGCAGCAGGCAGGAGCAGCAGCAGCCGCACTCTGCCAACAGCCTGGGAGGCAGAGCGAGCTGTCCTCCCTCCCCGCCAAGAGGTGCATGACTCTGGGAAGCAGAGGCCAGCTAGGGCCCCCATCTCCAGCCAGTTCCCCCCCTTGGAGGCTGCTCAGGGAGAGGCTGCAGGAGGAACTTAGCACTGCCTTCAGCTAGCCCAGGCCTGGGATGGGCACAGGGAAGCACAGCTTCAGGGGGTGGGAGGAGGGGGAGCTGCACACACACTGTGGATGGGCCAGGAGGGGCTGAGTTTATAGTCACACCTGGCTCTCTTCTGGGGGCAGGGATGGACTGGTGACCTGGAGCAGGTGACTGTGTGCTTCTGAACCTCAGTCTCCTTGTTTATAAAAAATATGGGACCGAGAAGGGAATTTCCCAGTAGAAGCCACAGAGCAGGCTCCTTCTGTGAGTGTGACTGTGTGTTGGGGGTGAAGAGGAAGAGGTGCAGTTTGCAGCGGTCTGTGTGTCATTGGTGAGCTGCTTCACCTCTCTGGGCCTGTTTTCTCACAGGACAAATGAGAACGGGGAACGGGTGAAGTCTGGAATTGCAGAGCCGTCTTCTTGTGTCGGTGCTCAGTGTACAAGTCTTAATATTCTTAAGAGGTTCTGCGGCCCAGGCTCTTGGCTTCCCAGGAGAATTATCTCAGCCCCATGCAGACTAGGCCTGGAGGCTCAGGGGAGAGGCTCGTGCAGAATCTCCTTGGGGGTGCAATCTGCACTGAGCAGTAACTTTGGGTTCTGATGAAAGGATCTAGGCATGAGGAAGGTCAGGATTTGAGCTTCCTCACAGATTCCTGGAGGGGTGCAGTTGCTGCTGGCCCCCCGGGTCTCCCTATGGTCTGAGCAACCCAGACAGGAGCCGAGAAGCCAACAGAATGAAGGTTTTTAATGGTACTGCTTGAAACCCAAGGGTTATGTAGCAATGATTGAGGTGTCTGGAGTGGAGTGACCACAGAGAGGACAGAGGCAGGAGATGCCCTGCCTGCCGCCCTGGCCTCCCATGACAGCACTGCCTCATCTAGTTCGCATGTGAGTTTATAAGTGGAATGCCCCAAATGCCATGGTGCACAGACCATGGAATCACAATCTCCACACAGAGACCCTCCAGGTTACCTGAGAGCAATGGAGATGCCACCCCTAGTTCTCACAGAATCTCGCACCTGTCAGATTAGATGCCCCGATTATCTCTCCAGCTCATGCTATTTCCCCTTCTGTCTGTCTGTCCACTCCCTCCCTCACCTCAGCTATTTATTATTTATTTGACCTAACCTGCCTGCCTTAATCCAACTCCCACTCCCCCCCAACTCTATGTCCCTGCCTCTCAGTTCTCTTTGGGTCCGAGGTGTGTGGGTTTCAATTAAGAAATTTCCACATCCCTGCTGGATGACCTGAAGCAAATTTCTTAACGTCTCTGTACCTCAATTTCCTCATCTGTGAAACGAAGACGACAGCACCTGACTATCGTTGTACCAGGAGTACTGGACACGTCATGACATCCCTCAGGGAGGCACTTTGAAGAGGGTGAGGAGAAGCCAGTCCTCTCCAAGTGCTGCTGTAGTGTGCTTGTTCACAACTCTTGTCCAAGTCACCCATGAAAATTGTGTTTAAGAAATGCATTAAAAATATTTTCACTGGCCCTCCCTGGTGGCGCAGCGGGTTAAAGCGCAGCACTGAGAATCTGAAGCCACTTCCGCATGAGTTCGATTCCCGCCTGCCGCCTGCCCCGGAGGAGACCACATGGCGAGCCAGACCTCTCCTGGCCCGCCCGCTGCTTCCCTCAGCAGTGTACTTCGTAGATCTGCCTGTTCTGCTCCCCACTCTGTCTCTGGTGAAGCCTCTCACCGCCCCTGAGCCTCTGGCCTGTACCCCAGTTCTGTATGAATAAATAAATAAATCTTAAAAAAAAAAAAAATTTCACTGGCCCTCCCTGGTGGCGCAGTGGGTTAAAGCACAACACTGAGAATCTAAAGCCATTTCCGCATGAGTTCGATTCCCGCCTGCCCCGGAGGTGACCACATGGCGTGGCAGACCTCTCCTGACTTGCCCACTGCTCCCCTCAGCAGTGTACTTCGTGGATCTGCCTGTTCTGCTCCCCACTCTGTCCCTGGTGAATCCTTTCACCCTCCGCCATCTCTGGCCTGTACCCCAGTTCTGTATGAATAAATAAATAAATCTTAAAAAAAATATTTCACTGCTGTTGCAATTTAAAAAAGAAAACAGAAGTTGATCAAGTACAAGCTCTTGGCATTCCCAGAGGTACGGGGGCCCAAGGAAGAGGATTGGGTGCTTCCTCACTGCCAGTCAGTGGCCCAGCCAGGCTTGGTCAGGACTGCCAGGCCAGGCTTTTGCCTGCAAGATACACAAAGGTATCATCATGGCGTTCTGGGTTCTAGAAGTCTGAAATGGGTCCATGGCTCTCGGGTCAGGCCTGTGTTCTGGCAGGGGGCTGAGAGGAGAGCATATCTCCAGCTCCTCAGGCCGCCCACAGGCCTTGACTGTTCTGACTTCAGCTTCTGTCCTCACCTCTCTGTCTCTGACCTGCTTCTCTCTGATAAGCTCTCTGGTATGACCTTGAGCTCCTGCATCACCTGGGATGGTCTCCCACCTTGATATACCTAGTGCAATCAGCCTGCGAGTCCCCTCTTGCCATGTATGGTGCTTCAGGAGTGATGTGTGTCCAGCCAGCCAGCCAGCCCTCGGGTAAGCCAAGACCCTCCGGAACTGCAAGAAAATCTACATGGGTGCTGTACTCATTTGCTGAATTTTTCATATTTGT